GGATAGATAATGAAAATAGCCCATTAATCTAGTCCTTAGATATGACAACAGTTTTTCTTTTTGGGGGGGGGGTTATTTTGTAGGTAGTCATAAGACAGACTAATGAATGCAATGAAGAAATAGAAAATTTGAAACGAATCTTAAATAATTATTCAACGGAGTTCTCCCTTGAACATATGTCACCAGACCAAGCTGTTGACTTTCCAGAAGTACAGGTATGTTTCTTTCATTCATTTATTCATCAGTTCATTCAATAGTAATAAGTAGTGTTTAAGCCCTTGGTATTTAGTGCCTACAGCAGTATGTCTGACTTCTTTTTTCCAATTAAAGCTATTTATTGTGTGCCTTTACTTTCCATTCCTGTTTAATAAAGTAGAGGATTGTATAATGTCATTATTGAAGCATGGTAAAATCGTAGGCTGGGCAGTTCTAGCCCCAGAAACTGGACTGGAGCTTCCACATCTCTTCCTTCATGGGGAGCTTTTTAAGTGCTCACAGCCTCAAGATGGTATATTTTGATCTGCATTTGCTCTGATCCCAAAGAGACTCGTGTGGCATTGATTATTTGGACAACCTGGCTCTCTGACTAGTTTTTTGGGATGGTAGTTAGGCAGTGTGGGCAGGCTGGGCTTTAGAAGTAATAAAACTCCGGACACCATTATAATGAAGGATTTCATATGCCAGGCTGTATTTCCATTTGCCATAATTAATAATGTCCAGAGCACCCAGTTACAGTGGTTTGCCTGTCAATCCTCCACTGTTTCAGTCTTGATTTTTAAGTCAGTACTTCTGTATTTAAAAACATGATTATATACCAAGGATTCTAGAGAGCTGTGTTTTTTGTCCTGTGATCCAGTTGATGCAGGCAGGTAGTTAATGTGGCACTACAAAGCAAGGTTATACCATTTACTAGGTGTGAGACAGAAGCAAGTTACTTAACATGCAAGGTAAAGTACAGAGAGGTTCAAGGTGACATAGTCATTAAGTGGTGGAACCAATGACACAGACTTAGTGTTAAAGATTCAATACTGTGAAAATGTCAAGTTTCTGTGTTCATGAGAAAATTTGAGGACTACAAAGAGCTTTTGTTTGTATATCTGAGGACATAGGGATTGAAACTCAGAAAAGTAAAAATATTTGTTTAGTTTATTTTAAAATAGCAATCATAAACACATGTTAATAGAAATAACATTTTTATGAATATAATTATGTCACTCAAAACACTATGAAAAGTGACTCTTTTACATTTTTGTAAATTTCTTTAATGTCTGGCTTAATAGAAGACAGATTCTCATCTACTTCTGCATTCTATTTTGTCAATTTTTTTTTTTAATAGTACAGAGGTTTGAACTCAGGGTCACTCTCTCACTGAGCTACATCCCCAGCCCTTTTTTTGTATTTTATTTAGAGACAGGGTCTCACTGAGTTGCTTTAGTACCTTGCTAAGTTGCTGAGGCTGGGTCTGAACTCATGATCCTACTGCCTCAGCCTCCTGAGCTGCTGGGATTACAGGTGTGTGCCACCATACCCGGCTATTTTATTAATTTTGTTCAAAGTATATAAAGACAATCCAACCTCTCAAAGACAGTGTACTCTGAAAAGGGAGCAATAACCGCCCTTTTGAATAACTGTGGATATTCTTTGAAAGTGCATTAAACCCAACAAATGAAAGTTACTCATAGGCTAGTTATAAATGGGATCTGTAGCCACATTAATGAACTTTCTATATTTTTACATTAAAATCCATTGTTTTGGGGCTGGGGATGTGGCCCAAGTGGTAGCGCGCTTGCCTAGCATACGTGAGGCACGGGGTTCGATTCTCAGCACCACATTAAAAAAACAAAGATTTTTTWAAAAATCCATTGTTTTTTCTTATACTTTGAATGGATCTTCTACTGTGTGTAACTTTGAAATACCATATTTGATCATTTAGAAAATATTATTTCACTAAATGATGTAGATCTTCCAAATGTTGACAGTATAGCAAATGCTGTACCACCCAGCTGTACCTCCCAGTCTAAAACTAAATTTTGAACACATGAAAGTTTCCTAAAAAGAGCAGTCTACTTTCTGATCAGTACTCATTGTAGGAGCCCAGATCTTCCAAATGTTGGCAGTGATCAATATAAAACTCCTATCTTTTCAGAAGAGGCTTTTAAGTATAGCATTTAAGTAAAAGTATAGTTTCTCAGCTATTTTATTTCATGTGACTGGGGCAGGGTGGTAGGTAGTTCAGCTCACAATCAGAACCAAACATTCATAAAAATCCTTTCCCTCAACCATCATACTTTGGTAGGTAACAAAAGTACTTTGGACATGCTTCCTATTTTGTCACTAAAATTTTAAAGATATCTATCTTTATCAAGCATGATCTAAAGTGAGACTGGCACTTTTCTTTCTTTTTTTCCTACTATAAGTCTACCATAGTGAAGAATTTAATTGATAGAGTTGATGTCTGTCTTGATTCATAAAAGGTAACAGTAGTTTTACCCACTGTTGTTTTGGTGCCATCGGAACAAATGTGAACACAGCAAAAAGGCAAGTAATTTTAGTAGCATTATGGAAATTATCTCCACTTCGGGCACTGTGGTCCCAGAGGTCTGCAGGCGCAACCTGCAACTGGCTACTCAGGGCCCTGTGAGTCTCCACAGTGGGAGAGGTTGAGCACCTCCTGCTCTGTTCCCCAAATGTTATTCTAAAGACTGTCAAAACTTTGGGGGGGGGGCACTTGACCTTGGAAGCTTAGTGTTTATTGAAAATAGGACACAATCCACTCCCAACCCAGATTTAATTTTGACAGTTATCATTTGCTACTAGCGATAATGGGAACTTTGACTTCAAACAGAATGGGGATGTTGATGTAGGAATGTGTGCAATCACACATGAGTCCTGGGGAAGCCCAGCTCTGCTCTGGCACATGCTGCAGCTTTAGAAACATCACCTGCTTCCTCTGGAAGCAGACTCCAGAACTTACTTGTAGGTAGAGACGTGCAACTTTTCCATCTGTAAAAAAATTAAAAAAAAATTAATAACCATAAATATCTTTAAGACAACGGAGCTAGATAGATAAGTACATGCATAGAAAAAATAAGGGTTTAAGGAAAATATTAGGAACAATTTTATTTTACATATATTTTTTCTTTTGTCAGTGCTGGGTATTGAATTCAGGACCTGGTGCATGCTAAGCAAATGCTCTACCACCCAGATATACCTCCTGCTCTAAAACAAATTTTAAACACATGAAAGTTTCCTAAAAAGAACAGGCTACTTTCTGATCAGCACTCATTGCAGGAGTTCAGGCACGGGTTGGATAACTCTTAGGTGCTAAAGTGGAGGTTGTTAGCCTAGACAACATCTGCTATTCCTTCCAAAACTAGGATTCTATAATTAATTCTATAATTCTCGTAGACAGATAGTATTTGCATATCTACCATATATAAAAAATTATTTGCATATACCAACACAGATGTTAAAAAGAGACATTATGAAATTTGGACTCATCTCTCCATCATTCCCATAGTAAGTTGTACTGCAAGGTAACTATTACTCCCATTTGATAGTAAGCTTGGATGTGGAAAGAGTAAATGATATAGTAATACTGAAGAAGTTTTCAAAGGCAATAATGAAAGAATGAAACTTCTAAGCGTATTTTCACTTAGCCATTCTCAAATGTTAGTCTGCTTAAGAATCTCTAGGGCAGACATGAGAACATATCTCCTAAAAACATGCATTTGTAATACTTTATGTGACAAAATGGAAAGTAGGCAGACAGCCCTTCTGTGTTAAAGTGCAGACCCTGGGTCCTGGCCTTTTGCATTCTGGGTCCACCAGTCCTATTGCTAGCCACTATGGCAGTGGCTCTCCACCCCAGCTGTTCTGCACAGTCACCAATAGAACCTGTTGCAAGTTTTCATGCTTTGGCTCCACCTCCAGATATTCTGATTTGCAAGGTCTACAGAGGAGCTAAGGTAACCTACCCACATCCTTTGGAAATGCAGCCAGATTGGGAAGGAACTAAACTATACCAGAGAGTGGTTCCTGGCTTTGCCAACCAAACAGCCTGGAACCATTTATCATCTCTTTTACTGAAGGGAGCTGGCTCCTATGCATATCCAAAGACTTCAGACTTCTAAACAATGCAGATATTCTTTCTGTACAGGAAGACATCAAAAGTATGGAACAGCAGATTCTGCATTTAAACCAGAAAAAAGAAGACCTATTGGTGGACTTGAAGGCTGCCGTATTAAACCTTCACCAGCATTTGAAGCAAGAACAGCAAGAAGGAGACGTGCTGTCAGCCAGAGCATTGGAGGATGGTGGAGCGGCTGAGCTGGATGTGTCTGAGTGGAAGGTAGGAACCCCTTTACTTGAATACTGGTCCCACATTCCACAAGAGTGTTAAATGGGTAATATTTTTCACCTGAACAACTTGTTGTATCTCGGTCTATGGCCCATAGTAAAGGAATTTTTTTGAAGTGGAAGTACTTCACTTGAGGTTGTTTACTAATGAACATAAATCCTCAGGGTGTGTTTGTTCTGGGCTCAACCCAGAATTCTTATGCTTGAGTTATTTAAGGATGTGCTTATGAAATTCCACGGGCAGATGGGTAGGGAGCCGTCTTTGAAGTATCATCCTATGGAATAGTCAGCCCATGGCAGACTCAGAAGTGGCCCGGCACCTTCTCTCGGGGCCCTCTCCAAATCCACATCAGTGAATCACACTCTTCAGTTGTTTGATGAAGGGCCCCAGGAAGCCACGCAAACGAGAGGGAACTGGACTGTGCCAGCCTGTCAGGCTGGATGAGCGGAAAGGTACAGGGCCCAGAGGCTGGGTGGGCATCGTGGATTAAAGTAAGTAAAAAATTAGCTCCATAAAAATGCAGCCAGGCCAGGATCCTGGCCATGTTGATGTGCAAGCTGACTGCAGGTGTCCTTTTGCTGTGCCCCTTTCAGCTGGACAGACCAGGCTCCATGTCATTCTTGCCAGCCGTCAAGGAAGAGGCAGAGGAAGGCTCCCTGAAGAGTGAAGTAAGGAAAACGATTTTCTCATGAAAGTTTGTTAGAACCAGATATCTAAAAAGGTGATAGAAAAGATCTTAAAAAGAATGTTTATTTCTTTAAAAATATTGATATTGTTAAAGGATGATTGAAGTAGTTCTCCTGTTATTAACGTTAAGTGCATCTCAACCTACTTCACCCTGTGCAAGGGAGAGAAATGTAATTCAGATGCACTTGTTGGCAGAGGGAGAAGAGGAAGTCCTCTCTCATGTCCTGACTTCTGAATGAATTCTCTGAAGTTTTAAGAGTAGGCTGTTGGGTTGGCATTCCCATGTGATTTTTTGCAACTTTATTTTTCCAACTTTATTTTTTACAACTTTATTTGAGTTATTTTTTGGGGTCTAAAATAGTGTTGTCAAGGTCATGTGCTATGTTAGTGACGAATACAGCTAATTGTTACTACTTCATTACAACTGGTTAAAAGAGACATTCACACTTGAACTCCTGGACACCAATTTCCATTCCATACTTTAAAAACTAAAGTTATCATGTGTCTTAAGCTAAAAGGTAGAAAATCGCAGCTTCTTACAGTTTCTATGGCTCAGATATGACTAGACAGTTTTTAATGCTCGTTTTATAGATTGTATTATTATTATTCCAATTATTAGTCCATTGTCATGCAGAACAGACCTCTTGTCCTACAGTGTCCTAGGACTCAGTGTGGCTGAGAGTTAGGATAAAGAAGAATGTAGGTTTACCATGTCCTCTGACCATTGACAGCTTCACAATCTGATTATGTCCCTTGTGGCAGAGAGAATCATGAAAATAGAGGCAATACCAAGGGCCAAAACAGAGGGGACTTCAGACACTTCAGTATGATTTAATTTCAGATAGGTATTTACTTTAGTGTGCTCTGTCTCTCAGGATGTTATGAATGGCTAAATCCATCTAATACATGTATGCATTATCTCACATACCGTTTTCTGTTTGTGGGAGAACATTTAAAATCTCTCTGAGCAGTTTGCAAGTACACACTATATTGTTATTGGCATCTCTTAATCTTCTTCCTGTCTAACTGAAATGTTTCATCCTTTGACCAACATCTCCCCAACCTCCCTCCATGCCCTCCACCCCAATAAACACCATTCTACTCTCTGTTTCTACAAGTTTAACTTTTTTACACTTCACATATAAGCAAGATTCTACAGTATTTGTCTTTCTGTGCCTAGCTTATTTACTTCATTTAATAAAATATCCCTTTAGTTCCTCCATGTGTTACAAATGACAGGATTTGCTTCTGTTTATGGCTGAGTAGTATTCTGTCATTTATATATATATATATATATATATATATATATATATATATACACACACACTTAGATACATATTACACATTACATTCTCTATCCATTGGTCCATTGATAGACACTCAGGTTGATTCCACATTTTGGCTATTATGAATAATGCTGTAATAAATAAAGAAGTGTGGATATCTCTTCAATGGATTGATTTCACTTCCTTTGGATATATACCCAATAGTAGTATTTCTGGATCATATGGTGGCTTTCTCATTTAATTTTTTGAGAAACTTGTATACTGTTTTCCCTAATAGCTAATTGACTATCCCTCAACAGTATTTAAGTTTCCTTTCCTCCACATCCTCGCCAACACTTGTTATTTTTCATCATTTTTTTATAAATGCCATTCTGATAGGTATGAAATGATATCTTCACTGTTTTGTTTATTTATTTAGTGGTGCTGGGGATCAAGCCCAGAGCTTCATTCATGCTAGACAAGAGCTCTACCACTGAACTGCACCCCCGGCCTCTCATTATAGTTTTAGTTTGCATTTCTCTGATAATTAGTGATTTTTAAGCATTTTTATACCTATTGGAATGTTATTTTAAACACAGCATTTAAGATTGCATTTACCAAAACAAATTAAGTACCTAAGTATTGTTTCAAAGATCTCCTTTCTGTGACTTGAGCTTACTCTGACTTTAAAAAATATTCTTTACGCTTCAGGAATTTGCAACCACATTTGAAATATGACTTAGTTAGCAAAATAAGTGAATGGAATATAGGAGAAGGTGTGGAATCAAGGCCTACAGTCAAGATGCCCAGCAAATTGAACCTTGCATGAGAGAGACAAGGAGAGTGCTGTCTAGGAGGGTAGGGTGTCACTTCCTTCTGCTAACCAACTGATCACTGTCTTAGAATGAATATAAGAAAGCAGAGCCGTCTTCAAGGTCTTTGCCTGTACTTTGGAAGCATGACCTGGGCTTGGAGGAAGATGGAGAATCCTCCTCCTCAGCAACCATCATTCCGGTAATCTTGGGTATATCATGTTCAGAGGTGGGGTGTGGGGACAGGGAGCTGTTTTTTGCCCCAATTTGTGTTCCCTTTCCCCTCTTCCTTTGTTCTTCTTTCATTCAGCACCTCCACTTTAAAATACAGATGTGTCCCAAATGAGGAATAAAAATAAGGGATAGTAAGTCAAAGAAAAGAAGTTCTTTTTTTTTTTTTTTTTTTAAGAAAAGTTCTTATTTAAAAGAATGCTTAGAACTGTGCTGCATTTTTTGTCACTGTTGACAAATGAATATTGCATGTATTTATAGTGGATAGTGGGATGCTTTGAAATACATATATACCATGTGGAATGACTAAATTGAGCTAATTAGCATATGCATTGATTTGCATAATTATCATTTTATCATTTGTGTGTGCATTAAGAACACTTAAAATCTATTCTTTCTGTATTCTCTAGGTCGATGATACATTGCTATTAACTATAGTCATTTTTTATGGTAATGTCTCTTGAACTTATTCCTCCTACCTAACTGAAAGTTTGGATCCTTTGATCAGTGTCTCCCAGTGCTTCCCCACAGTCCCTGGTAACCACAATTCTACCCTCTGCTTCAAGTTTTTTAGATTCTATTTGTAAATGAAATAATGTGATATTTAGCATTCTGTGTCCAGCTTATTGACATATTAACATATTCTTGTTCAGGGCCATCTGTGTCATTGCAAATGGTAGGATTTTTTTTTTTCAATGTTAAGGGTGAATAGTATTCTGTAATATATACAGACCACATATTCTTTATCCATTCATCCATGATGGAGACTGAAGTTGGTTCCTCATTTTGGCTGTTGTGAATGTTTAAAAGCTTCTCGCCATTACATCTGCACAAATGGAACGCAACTTAGTAAATACCTGCTAATGTCTTGCATTTCTGTTGTTCACTCAACAGATAGCGAGAGAGTCCTTTTTTCTGAGGAAAAAGTCACTTCAAAATTCACCTAAGTCACATTGTTTTGCCAAGGCATTTATCACTCCTCTCTTTTGGGAGTAGATAAAATGTGTGTGTGTGTCAGGGGAGGAGGGAGGAGAGTGAGGGTCTTTCCATAATTTCTTAAAAAAATAATAATGTAGGATAAATTAATGCAGTAAGCCTTTTTCTCCTGACAACATTAGATTCTTCTCTAATCTTTCAAAATAAAAGGCAATATCCTCTCTTTGGAAGACCATCCTCACAGCAGTAATGTCTTTCCTTTGCTTCTGAAGCATGCCTGCTACTGTATCATCGTCACCTTGATCCCCACCTCTTCCTCCCACCTCCTGGCCCTCAGCTCCCACACCAACCCTTCATCAGTCACTGGCACCATGCTCTGCTTACACCTGCATCTTCACTTTCTGCCTCGTGGTGCATTTCTTCCCTCTTAACCCCCTTCCCCCAAACAAACCAATCATCCCAACCTGTCTGTACCTTGAGTGGCTCTTTGCTTGGCATCCCTGGCCTGCCTTTCCTCCATGCTGCCCGAGGTATCCTCCCCATCCCTGAGACCCATCTCAACTTCTGCCTCCTCCATGGAACCTCCTGAGATCCTACAGGGGAAATTGCTGGCCCTTTCCCTCTGTTGCCCCTAGCTCTCCTCAGGTGTGGCCTACCACATCCTCAGGCCTATACGTGACACAGTTTTGTTCTACGGGCAGATGTCCCGTCCATGGCCAACTATGGCACTTGGATTCATGGACTGTTTGAATCCTGCTTCCCACATCAGTTACTGTACTTCCTCATTCATGTCCCACTAAATGTTTTTCCTTGGTGCTCCCTGGGTCCCTTTGTGCTCTGCCTCTGGCTGTGTGTATGCTGTGATTGACTTCCAGAATGCAACTTCAGCCTTGTGTTAGTCCTAATCCTTCTTGATCTTGCCAGAGTCCGCCACCTCGTCCTCTTGAAGTGTCCTCCTGATTCTTCACTTCCTGTCTCTTCTACCTGTGAACCCTCTGTCTCCTTCCTTGTCCCTCTCTTCTGTCTGTGACGCGAGGTATTCCCCGGACGTTCCTCCTCTTCCTTCCCTCTGTTTTGTCTCCTGGTGATTTCATCCCCTGTGCTTGGCATCTCTGTGCCGCTGATTCCCACTTCAAATTGCCCATCATGGCTTTTGTAAGTCTGTTCCACGTGTCTACCCTCCTGATAGACTTCTCATTTGGGACGAATATTCTCAAATCCATTTGACCAAATGGATTTCAAAGTTTGCTCTTCCTCCTAATTTCTCAGTGCCTACTAGTGGCACCCACTGTTTTCCCAGTCCAAGGAGAATAAACTTCATGATCATCTTCATATTCAGTCAGTAGCCAAGCAACACCCACTGAAGCTTCATCTCCCTCTCCTCCTAGTCTTTGTTTTCTCATCCTGTGTGAGGCAATTTTATTTCTCCTTTGGCTGTTGGAATAGCCTCCTAATTGGTTTTACAACCTCCAGTTATTTTTTTTTTTCTGGTATATCTTACACAACACAGATGGCTTTTTCTAAAACCTGTTGCACTAAATAAATCCCATCTTAATATCCTTCATGGATTCTGATTATCAACTTAGTAAAATGCAAACTTATTGGCATGCCAGGTTTTTCATGATCCTTACCTACCTTTGCAATTTTATCTAAAGTTCTGCCTTTAGTTTTGGTTCAGTTCTTAGTGTCTGATAGCAGTTATCGTGCCCAGTAAAGAGGAGCTAACATTTTGTTAAAAGCTACTAAATACTTTAAATATATCATCTGGTTTAATAATCAAAAGCTTTCGTGAAGTGGGTTTTAGTCCCCTTAATCAGTGGTTTAGATTGAATTTATATTGTAAGAATGTTGAGAATCTCCCTGTAGAAGTCTGTCGGGTTTTGTAATTCTTTCATGAATTGCTAGTGCATAGCATTGCATTTTTTTCTCTGTAGGAGTTGATGTTTAACTTATTGATTTATAAGATTAATATATTGAGAGCATAACATTTTATCCCAGTTAGTTTTTCTCTTTTAACTTAGACTATATTTCTTCTGTGGTGCACATTATGTTATTTTTTTTAATATTGTCTCTACTAACATTCTTTTCCTATGTTGTCAAAGCCCTTCCCCACCTCTACAATTTCTGTGGTTTAGCTTTTACATTTCAATATTAGATACAATTAGAATTCATTGTCAGGAGTGAGACAAAGACTTTTGTTATATTTTTTCATAAAATATCTCAATAGTTATTCTTATATCTAATAAGTTCATCTTTTCTCCCATTATTTGAAATGTGGCCCCTATCATAGAACCTCATTTAAACTCTCAGAATGATCTGCTTAAATACTTAATTCTGTGGATCCTTTATGTGCTCATTAAGAAGAGAGTTTTTGAGTATTTAAGTCATATAAATAAAGACAAATCAAAGGAAGCTGATTTTTTTTCCCCCACCAAAACAAACTAACTCTTTTCTAAATGCACCTGAATTCTCTGGACATTTTTGCAAGCAGTCAATTTGCAAATGAGCAGGCCAGGAAGAGGGGCTACTCTGGCAGCAGGGAAAGACCTTTCCTGGATGTCTGATTCTTTTCTTTGTAGGAGGCAGATGGGAAAATAAGCACCTGTGATAGTTCCATGGTACAAATTCTGGCACCAGACTCACTAAACACTGAGCAAAGCCTAGCATTTTCCCCGAAGCTCAACCAAACAGAAGAGGTAAGTCCCTGTCAGTAACAAGCCAACTGCTTGGCTACCTGAACTGTCTCCAGAGGTGACCAGCTTTCTGGGTTCTGCAATCCTTTGTGTGCCAATCCAAGTGTTCTTTGTGAACTTTCATGTCTGTATGTGTGCTTTCAAGCTATTGAAATGGAAGATTCGCCATCATTCACATAGAAAATCGGCATGGCATGAAGCAGGGAGACCTTTCTCCACTTGGTCACCCTTTGGGGTGTGAAGTAGTCTTCCCGTTAGTGACTTCTTCCATCTGTACACACCGCATCTGGGGGCAACCAAAGTGGAGAAGAGCTAAGGTTGACTAACGGCCTACTACAGAAAAGGCATTTGTATTTGTTGTCTGTTTAATCTTTGGATTAGATGAAGCGGGTTAATGCCTGCCCACAAGTTTACAAAAGAGAAAATCAAAATTCAGAGAGTAAAACACTGGCAGTCACTGGGAGAGTAAGGAATCAATTACAGAATTTTCCAGTCTCCCCTTCTTCATTTGAGATATTTTTGTGGTGCACATTGTTTCTCAAGAAGGCCCTCTGGGGAGCCATTTCCCAGGTTGGTTTTGGTGGAAATAAAGCTCCATGGGTCTCACCGACCCAAAAAGATCCTGACCTGCTTTCTCTCCTCCTTCTCCTTTTCAGTCTTTTCTCCCAATTGTTTGTCCTTGCATATATATATGAGTTGTCAAATTGTTATTCCTCTTTGCCCTTCTTCCCTTTCATTCTCTGTCTCTCTTAACAATATGTGCCTAGCAAGGCAGACAAATGTCGCAGCTTAACCCTCGCTGGCAGTACTTATTGTCTAAGAAAGTTGCTGACCTCACCCATAGTTTTGTTTGTTTTTGTCTTTTGCTGGTCAGAATTAATGTTTCTTTTGACACCTAATTAAAAATCAGACGTAGCTTCAGTTGTGCGTTGGCTGCAGCGGGCATTCTGCGCAGTGTATTTCTCCCGGGGTGGGTGGGCAGGTTGTTTTGCCCTGGCAGTGTCAACAGCACATAATGGTGATGATAAGAGAAAGAGGTAAGGGGAGAGTAACAAAAACCCACTGAATACTTCCTCTGGGCCAGGCCCTGGGGTTTTACATGTGTTCTCTCTGCATCCTCACGTCAGCTCTGTAAGGTCGTTACTGCTGTTGCCCCAGTTGACAGAAGGAGACTTAGACGTTTGGTTGTCCAAGGCCACACAGCTCCTGAGTGGCAGAGTGAAGATTGAAACCCAGAACCTCTCCCTCCAGGTTTAGAACTTGAGCTTTCCACCGGAAGGCCCCCGTGACTCTCTTAAACTGATGTCTGTGTAGGTACATTCATATTTTCTTCCTAACAGAACTCTTGAAGCCCTCTTTGGATCAGTCAGGGTCCTTTCCTCCTGCCTTTGGTCATTTCCGTTTCATTGACCCAACAGCCAGAGAGGGAAATGGGGAGCTCCAGAGACCAGGCCACCTGTGTCATCAGCCAAGCATTAGTCTCTGCAGACTTTTTGGTTTAGAGATCAAGGGCACTGACCAAACGAGAATTGTGCAATTTTTAGTAAAATTCAGAGTCATCTGTGACCCAGATTGTATTGAAGAATAAATATTTAATACAGAAAGTGAAACCAAAGTGGGCTTGACCTCACAGAATAAAGACTGCCATGCCGTTCCAGCAGCGTGTCGCAGGTCTGTGCTTGTGCAGGTGGACGCGGCCCTTCAGGCAGGCAAGCTCTCACTCTGGGCAAAGTGAGGAGGATGCACAGGTATTTGTAGAATTGACTCAATAGAAGGAATAAACTTGAAGGCTTGATACCTTGGTACGCAGAGTGACTGTAGCCAGTAAATTCACTTGCCTTTTAACCACAGTCCCGTTGTTTAGATGTGTGATGTGTTTATACAGAAATCCAACAGTGAGACTCCCTGAGGGGTTAACCTGGACACTAGAGAGCTAGTAAAATTGTGTCCAAAAGGTGGATTTGTAGATTCCACAGCAGGGTGAAAACAGGACGTTAATTCTGGTTCTACTTACTAATTAATTGGGTGACCACAGGCCGTTTGAATAGCCTCCCAAAGCCTGGATTTCCTCAGCTGTGTACTGGGACTAAACACAGGCTTGCAGTGTGAAGGAATGAGGTGGTCTTTATTACATGTTTAGCACGGTGCCTGGCGCATAATAAGAGCTCAGTAAAGGTTAGTGTTATTAGTTTAGTTATGTCATAGACGTGACAATTGTGGCTAATGCTTTGAAGCCTCCCACAGTGTACAATTAGAAGACCTTCGTTTACATGATTTCTGCCTTTAGAATCTGGGGCTATTATCCAGGGAAGCTGTTTTGCTGAGATGCTATTAGGGAAACAACTAGGGACTCATAATTTAAAGATCACAGAGCTGTTGACCTTGGACAACTAGAAGCAAGTTGGTGAGGTGGGAGGCGTGTGAACTGATGACACACAGGCTCAGGTGTCTTTGACTGTTTAAAAAAAAAAAAAAAAAAGACATGGGCAAACTGCTCACTGGCAGGTTCCTGAGGCCACTTTCAGCTTTGCAAGTTTCTACGGTTGCAAATAATCTTTTTTCTTCTACCCCACACCCCTTAGATTCTCTTCAGGTTCAAATTACCAGCCAATAAAGCCCAGATTAGTCATCCAGCTTGCTTATTTCCTCAGTGATTTTATTAGTGAGAAAGCAAAGAAACAAAATGTCTTTTAAAATGTGTGTGGCATATAGCAGGGGCACCAAAAAGTCTGGATACATCAAGAAGCCAGATGGCAAATCATTTATTATCAATTAATTAATATTCACAGGTTGCTATGTCAGGTGGCAAAGAAAGGGGATCCCCAAGTCTTTTCCAGTAAGATTTAAGTAATAACTGAAAAGTAGAAGATAATTAATCAGCTAGGTGTGGTTTGCTGAGGCAGGAGGATCACAAGCCTGATCAGTTTAACAAGACCTTGTGTCAAAATAAAAAATAACACGGGCTGTGGAAGTAGCCCAGTGGTAAAGCATCCCTGGGTTCAAGAACCCAATACAAAGGAAGAAAAGAAGGGGATTTATCAGGTGGCTAGAAATTGGTTGTTTGCAGTAATACCACTCAATTGTTGCTTTTTTAAAAAATCAAGATTAAAAAAAGAAAATTGAAATAAGTGAATCCAGGTATTAAACCTGACTGTATATGAAGTTCAGAGGAAAACAGAAGTCAGGGGAAAATGTCTTTAAGAGGGTGATTCTTGAATAAAATTATAAACACAGATCGATGAAGGCAGAAGAGAAATAGGGATTTGCAGAAAAGAGCAATATGCATGAAGTTAATGGATGGTCAGAGGGAAGAAATTCAACCCAGAGACACTTCTTCCAAACCAGCTTTCGTAACACTATCAGTGTGTAAATGAATGATATTTTCATACTTTGCGTGATTTTATTACCACCTACCAGTTTTCTTCACTCAATTGCATTGAAAGTTTTGTGTTTAAATAAAATTTCACAAATATTCAGAAATGTGCATTTGCATTGAATTAGGGTATGCATGTGTGAGCAGTTCTTATTAGAAGTTTGTCACCTGACCCAGATTGTGCTTTACTACTTGCTAACAAAGTCTTCTATGGATAACATTATAATTTATCAAAATTACAATAAAATATTTATAGGGAACGATTCTTTCATTCAGCAAAATAAATCTTTATTAAACTAAAGGAATTTCTCTCCAAGGGCTGATATACTTTTTCAATATTCTAGAGAAGGATAATTAATATGGTGGAAGGCAAGTATTTCTTTGTATGAAATCTTTTTTTTCCCCCTCCAAATTGAAAACATCCGATATAATTATTAAAAAACTTTCATTTGCTAACTGGAGAAATTTTGCTGTTGCATTGATTAGCAGCCCAGTTATTTCAATATGAAAGAACACATCATTCTTTTCTTTTTTATTTGTTCTACAGTCAATTATACATGACAGTAGAATGGAATATATCATTTTTTCTATGTTAAGTACTTGGTCTCTAACTCAATAATATTTGAGGATCTCAAAGGTGAAAGTTATTTTAGAGATTTGTTCTGAGGAAGAGGAGGAAAGTTTTCAGATTCCTCTGCTCAAGTTCATAACTTGACTCAAGCAATTTTTACCGGGGAGAAGTTGAGATGAGTAATAGCAAGTATGTTGAAAGAAAAGCTAAAATCCTTTATAATCTCATTACTTGGCTTATTTCATTGTATGCCTGCTATATGTATAGGTCGTTTTTTTGTTTTGTTTTGTTGTTTTTTCCTGTTTGAATAGAGTGCAGAGTAATGTAAGCATTGCTTAATCCCAGGTCATGCAACTTTAAACACTGGCCAGTTCCTGCGGTGTTTGGGACACACACACCCACATGCCCACACTCTCTCCCACACTCTCACCTCTCTCCTGGGGCTCACCGCTCAATGAACTGAAAGCCCATTCGCTTCCTCTGTGCCCAGGAATACTGTACCTGTGTACATGCAGATCGGCTGCTTGGAAACCTGTGCCACCAGGTCACGTGATTGTTGCTATGAGTGTGGAGGTGCATTTTTCTTTTCTTTCTTCCTTCTTCTGTTCTTATTTTGTTTCTTTTAACTGGGGAGAAAGGTTGTGGGTCCACAGGTCTTTGCCAGCCCAAGTCTGAAATCTTTGGACTCCTGGCTCATCACTGCTGGATTATCTTTGGGTTTATCTTAGGGTCCCACTTCTCCTATCAAGGCTGCAGCTCTGGACTTTTCTGATAAGCCAGGAGATTTTGAGACCTCAGTGAAGAGAACTAGGGCCCGGCCTGTAGAAGTCCTCCATGTCTGCAAGACCCAGGTGGCCGAGCTGGAGCTGTGGCTGCAACAAGCCAGCGTGGCATTTGAGCCGGAAACATTAAACGCAGACATGCAGCAGGTGGTGGAACAGGAACTGGTCGGGTGCCAGGTAAGACCGATGGGCCAGTTCGTAGTTTGCCTCTTCACCAATCACCAGCCAACTCAGGGCTGATTTCACTTAAAGCAACAGTATGTTTCTTCTCTCTCTCTGACTCTCACATTTATCTTTGCCTTAACTTGTAGTTCTTTGAAATGCTTTATGTAAGCAGCATATTTGGGAGGACAGCAGCTCAGAATATGGAGTCCAAATCCAGTTCTGTCACATTAACTATGAACTTAGAGAAGTTAACTTCTCAGCCCTAATTCTCCTGTTATAGTAGATTAGCTCATAGGATTTTTGTTAGGATTAAATGAGACAAAAACAAAAAACAGTGTCTGTTATATAAAGTATATAAAAGGTGCTCAATGCCAGGTTCGATGGCGCGTGCCTGTAATCCCAGCAATTTGGGAGCCTGAAGCAGAAGGATTACAAGTTCAAGGCCAGTCTCAGCAATTTAGCCTTAGCAACTTAGCAAGACTTTGTCTCAAAATTAAAAAAAAAACAACAAAAATATGGGGGGTTGGGGGTGCAATGGTTAAGTGTCCCTGGGTTCAATCCCCAGCACCCCCGCAAAAAAAAAGTGCTCAAAATTTTTATTAATAATTCTAAGTACGTGGAATACTTATTCATCAGAAATGAAACTGAGTGTTCTGATTTCCAAGATTGCAAATACAGCATGAAAGGGCTTTACAGCCATTTGACCAGGAATGCTCCCGGTCTTGCTTGGGAGGAGCAAGGACATGGACTTCCTTGACTTTAGTCACTTTAAACAAAACTTGCCAGCTCAGCCCAAAGGTTGGCTCTCTGTCCCACAAGGGAGGGGCTAGAATGATGACATCGCAGCAGCATAATTGCATGTCACAACAGCAGAGACCTGCTGGCTGCTTCCAGAGCCTCTCTCCCTCTGCACTCAGGAGACCAGCCGCGACTTGATGTCTACCTTGTCGCCTTGTTTATCTGCCAGGGATTAGGACACTCTCTTTTCTCAGAGTACCCCACACCACCAGCCTGGCCACAGGGGGCTCTTCCTGCAGTCACTTGCTATGTGATCGGAATGGCCTGCCCTTCAACCAGGGGCATTCTTCCCTGCTGCTCAAGCCCACAGCCTTACCGCATCCAGATCTGCCTGCAGGGGAGAGGACAGGCAGCTGCTCTGACCTGCTTCTTAGGGCAGCTCAGCACCTCTGACCCCAGTGGTCAGTTCTGAATGGTCAGTTCACTCGGGTACTGACAGAGTCCAGCTGAGCACTATAGCACAGGCCTATAATCCCAATGGCTTGGGAGGCTGAGGCAGGAGGATCAYAAGTTCAAAGCCAGCCTCAGCAACTGTCTCTAAATAAAACACAAAATAGGACTAGGGATGTGGTTCAGTAGTTGAGTGCCCCTGGTTCAATTCCCGGTACCAAAAAAAAAAAAAGATAAGTCCAACTAGCACAGGGTAAAGCCATGCTTAAACTGAATCCAAGCCAGTCCAGGTTTTGCTTCTCAATCATTTAAGGCCGTCCCATATCATTTGCCAACTGATTGTCTACTGACTAGGGAGGCTTCATGTCAACTCCTTGATCATCACTGGAATCCTCTCCTCGCCTCTTGTATCTACTTTGAGGATGTGGGGGTTACCCAAAGAAAAGACATGACCACCAGGTGGCAGTAGCGCCCAACAGGCTTTATGTGGGCAGGACTTTGACAGGATTGATTTTTAGAGTCACAGAAGTTCTTGCAGAAGCCTGGGATGAGGCAGATGGGCACTGCAGAGGGGAAGAGGAGAAGGAAATCAGTGAGGGGTGTTGTGTGTCTAGGTCATGTCCCTGAGCCATGTCGTGTCCAGGTCAGAGAGTTCCACAGGGCAGCAGAAGCTTGGGACTTTCTATAGCCCCAGGGTTTGTCTTATCCATGGCTGGCAGATGTCAGGTGTAGTTTTGGGAGTATACAAAGCAGGCAGGCTCTATATGACTGAAGATAGGCTCATAGGGTTATATTTAAAGCCACTACATATATAAAAAAATGGGGTTTGAGCTAATGGTTCTGACTTATTGGAAAGAAATAAATAACATAGGGGCCAATATATAAGGGCCATCTCTGGCTCATTTATATAATAACATGACACCTATGATTTCACATTGAAACATAAAAATACCTTGAAATTGTCTATAAATGCTAAGTTCCCAGAGGGAAAATGGCCAAAGGACAGGATCAAACAAGAAAAATTGTATTTGGTAATTTAAATTTGAAAAGAGCTGTTCAATCTTGATAATTAAAGACATTTGAATTAAACTAGCTATTGTTTTGCTGTTGTAGTACATTAATAACAATTTTATCATCCTGGCAAAACTCTAGCAAAATAGACCCACTAATGTGTAGTAGCTCTAATTGGTTCAGTGTTTTGAAGATCTGTGAGCATATAACATGTCCATCTTCTTTGACCTAATAATGCCATTACTTTAAAATTAACCTGTGCAGATAATCTGAAAGGAGAAAAATAATTATGGCAGCAATAATTACAAAAGTGAAGAACTGGTAACAACTTAAAGTAGTAACAAAGAAGGGAACCATGGAGTAGAACTATTAAAATGGGAATCGTTGAAAAATAAAGAATAAAGAAGGCAGAGGGAAATTAACAAGAGTCAACATTTTTTGCTTACCACTTTTTTAAGCATGGACTATGTACATGATATTAACTCATTAAATCCAAAGGACATGGATTGAGGCCAAATCACATGGATTTAACTCATTAAAATCACCCTATGAGGTAAATTCTGTTATTATCCCCCATTTTACGGATTGCTACAAGCATGTACCTACATCTAAAGCACAGTGCCTCAGCACACACAGGTGCCAAGTGGCAGGGTCAGGGTCCAGGCGGCAGTCAGGCTGGTTCTAGCATCTTGTTCTTAACCACTGTGCTCTACTGTGTACATTGTTCAGAGTTTTCTAAAGTGGTTATGAAATCATTTCTTTTTGATTATGACAGAGAGTGCTATCTGCAATTGGGGTTGTTTTGGTTGCATTCCTACTGAAAAGCATAGGAATTCAGAGGAAGTTTATGTTTGCCCGAGGTGGCTTCCATCCTGTCTTTCTGGGATTTCTTGTATACCTTTAGATAAAGAGAGGAAGCTTCACTTATTGGAAGAATAATACTTTGGGTGCAGTCCCCAGCATGAAAACAAAAAAGACCAACCCTGTGAATAATTCCTGATTTTCTTGCTTAGGCTATGCTGACCGAGATTGAGCACAAGGTTGCCTCTCTCTTGGACACTTGCAAAGATCAGGGCCTGGGAGATAGTGGAGCCACTCAACAGGAGGCCGAAGCACTCTCCCTGAAACTCAAAACTGTGAAGTGCAATTTGGAAAAAGTCCAGATGATGCTGCAGGAGAAATACAGCGAGGATCAGGTAAAATATGGTTTTGTGTAGATATATATCTCCATAGGCCAGAGCCAGCCAGAGGAGAACCCTGGGTGGAAATGATGCACCAACTACAGAGAAACTATACACAGTAAGCAGGAATCTGTGAACTGGAAGCGATGGGGACACTGGCTTTTGTTGCTTTTATTTCATTTTACTGCGGTGCAAGTGTCTTAACTAGGTTGTTGGTGGTGGTTTGGTTTGGGTTGGTTTGATGGGGTGGAGTGTACTTGCTGATAATAAGCTTTCAGGTAAGGCTTCTTCATAAGTGTATATTTTAACACAATTTTGTGACTCCTGTTGACCAGACAATGAAGGCTTTATAGATAAGTTGAAAATTTTACATGAGAAAAACAAATCCTGCTTCCAGGGTACTTTTGTTATTCATTATTAATGTTTCTATATACTCTCACAGTATAGTAGACTACATTAGAGTGCTTTCATGATTTTTAAAAGCATTCTGTTTTTAGAAATGAAATGTTCATATCATGCATAGATCTTACCCTGCAAGATTTGCATCCAAACTTATAAGTGATTCCTGCCTGGGGACTTCACATTCACAGAAATGAGACTAGCTGCAGAGACATAGGCCATCTGGTTGTCCCTTTCATCCTCCTTTTTAAAAAAAATAGATAGTTGAGACATGGGGAAAATCTGAGTTCATAAATGTTGTACCATTTCCCCGTTTGATTGATTGATTGATTGACTGACTTTGTTCTTAAGGAGAAAAGGAATAAATAAATAAATCCTGGCTTTTAGTAATTCATGGGATGAATTAGATTGAGGAAAGAAGATCGTTTCATCAAATGGAGTGATTTTTCACGATGTTAGAAATAAGTGCATTAAAACATAGCATACAATTATATTACCTAACAAAGTACTATCGTTTACTTCCTATAACACTTTTCTATTAGGTAATCCCATTTTTAGAGTTCTTAGATAAAGTGGGTCTTAATTTTTAAACAGTCTGCCATTGTTACATTTTTCTGCAGTACCCTACCATTCTAAGGAAACCTTCAGAACTCCAACAAGTCCTCCAGCCTGTTAACCTTCCTGAATTGGTACCTATTGTAACTGAAAGGCCACAATTTAGCAGACAAAGAGATGTCCCCCTGCAACAGGTAATTTTGGCCACTGGCCATTGTAAGGACAAGAGTAAAACTTTCTAGATGCAATTTCTCTTTGGGCCAAAACTTTGAACTGCCTTTGGAGGGTCTGCATGTGTGACCAAGTGCAGAATGTCAGGTGTGTTTGTGTGTGCAGCAATGCCGATTTTGGGATGTTTACTGGTTTGCTTCCATCTGCTACTATTGGGGACACTCTAACTTTATTCCTTTATTAAGTTGTATCTTATATTGAACTAAGTAGAAACCTGCAGGGTAAACGTACCTCTGTGTCTACAACACTGCTTTGCATATTTCAAAACATGCTGATATGTTTTGGGTGATTTTTTTTCCTATGTGTCTTAATAGTTTAATATTTGATTATTGTGTGAATATTTTGAATGGATTTTTTGAAAAGTTAAGATTAACAACAATAGGGGCTGGGGTTGTGGCTCAGTGGTAGAGCACTTGCCTGGCATGTGTGAGGCACTGGGTTTGATTCTCAGCACCACATGTAAATAAATGAATAAAAAATAAAGATCCATTAACATCTAAAAATTTTTTTAAAAAAGATTAACAAGAATAGGCAATCAAGAAAGAGAAATAGTCAACAATGACTTAAATCCTTAGGTACTAAATAAAAAACTGGATTGACTAGACCTTTTCAATCTTATTCAATTTTAGGTTCTGGAGTTAAAACCAATGGAACAGAAAGATTTACTCAAGTTTATAGAATTTAATGCTAAGAAAACATGGCCGCAGTATTGCCAACAGGATAAAGATACTACTCAGGGATCATCTGTGAGGTGAAATCATTTTAAATAGTTGGACATTGAGTAGATTTTTGGCTGGGAGAACCGTTTTGGTTTTTTTGTTTGTTTGTTTTATAAGCCACTCACAAAACATTATCTAAAGGTAATTCCTAAATTTCTTCATGCTGATTATTCTTTTTACCTTTTTCGCTTCCTTAAAAGCAACAAGGCATCTGGCCCTGAAAATGAAGCTCCAGACTTGATCTCTTCACCTCAGGGTCAAAATGGTGATAAATGGCAATATCTTCATCATGAACTGTCCTCAAAAATAAAGCTACCTCCTCCTCAGCTCGTGGAGCCTCAGGTCAGTCTGCATTCTGCACACACTGCAAGCAGCCCGCTCGTCCTTGGAACCCAGCAAGCCCTCATTAAATAAACACATAGGCTCTGCATCATGTAGCAGTTTCTTTTCAGATAGCAAAGGTGCCATCTGGGTTCTTCACTTGTTCAATACTTTTTCTCAATTCTGGAACTCTGCCTCAGGTGCTCCTCCAGCACCGTGGGTTTCCCTGATCATAGCTCTTCCTAAACTCTCCACCTGTGTGTTTGAATTCCCCCATCAGACAGAAGGTCTGAAAAGAAAGACCTTATCTGCCTGATTCACCCAGGAGCATGGTAGCATAGTACCTGGGCATCAGAGAATCTCAGTTACTATCTGTTGAATGAATAAAGGAATGAATAATATAAGTTAACCTTTAAAAAGCACTTTAAAAATGATATAGTGCTGGCCAGGTATGGTGGTACATGCCTGTAATTCCAGCTACTTGGAAGGTTCAGGCAGGAAGAGTGTACATTCAAGACAGCCCCAGCAATTTAGTGAGACCCTGCCTCAAAATAAAAAATAAAAAGGGCTAGAGATGTAGCTCAGTGGTAGAGCAATCCTGGGTTCAACCCCAAGTACTGCTAAGTAAATAAATAGTAAGTAATTAAATAATCTTACTTATTCTTCCTTATAAATGCCAAGGTACAAAAGCTTACCGAGAAGGGAACTCCAAAGACAGCATCTGAGGCAGTTTTTCTGTTTACAGTAGCATCAGCAGGATCTCCAACTGTCACTAAAAAGGTTTCCCTTTTTCAAATAGGTTACCACCAATATGAGTATTCTACCCAGTGTGAGTGTGTATAACTTTAGATACCCTACAACGGAAGAGCTGAAAATGTACACCACCCAACTCGAAGACCTGCGTCAAGAAGCAAATAATCTTCAGACACAGGTAGAAACTGCCTGTGGCTTATTTTTCTCATTGCACGAATGCAAAAAAARAGGGAGATAAAATGTCCTCATTTAAATTGGTCATAATTTTCTTCACTGAACAAATAGAACAAATAGAATTCATCTTGTTTGCCAACTCTGATAAATTTTGTGGTGACTACCTAGAGTGCAGTGTACAAAGGATTCTGGGTCTGAGCCCAAGATCAATAGGAAAGAGGATGATGATGGATTAGTTCTGCCTGCCGTGCTGGTCTGGAAGGGCAAGGGAGGAGGGTAGGGCAGAAGAACAGGTATGGTTTCCAAACTTGAGTAGGCTTAATGCCAAATGCTCAGTGTATGCTAGGTATCCATCAGAGAAGGCCGCAGGAAACAGCTCAAGTTGGAGTGATTCTGAGCATGGGCATGCTCCTAACTAATTGTAACTAGTCAGGAATTCAAGGTGACCATGGATGAAGAAAAGAAGGTGGTTCCAACAGCTTCTGCTGAAACAGATCTGTGYTCCCCAAATCACCAGAATGTGATGACACTACCCGTGGACCTCTTTGGAGACGTTACCTCTCAGGATGTCCTTAATTCTTGAAGTCAGCCCATAAATGACACTCCTGACTTCCCCCACTCCACCACCCATCCCTGTCTTTAAGATACCGTACCGCCTTTTCCTCATCAACCCCTTTGAGCTTCTCTGATATGACTTCTTTTCTTTTTCATGGCTGTACTTGACTTCGTTAACCCACTTTCTCCCACATTAAAATGTGTGGGGCATGAAGCAGGGGGAAGAGGGACAGTGTGGTTGGCCTGGGACCACAGCTGCACCTGAATGGTCCTGCTAAGGAAGCCCTTTATCTCATGACTTAACCTTTTCATTCCATTCAATAGTCAAGTAACAACCGAACCTTGAGTTTCTTAAAACTGTCTTTCTCAAAGTTAAAAATTTAATTTTATTTATTTATTCTATGACCTACTTCATCGAAAAGACTAGTTCACTAATTAGTGCGAGTACTGCCTAGTTCAGTTTCTGGAGATCATTTGTTTGAAATGGGTCATTATTTTTAAAAAAGTATCATATCAATTTTAAGTTTTAATGGAAACTAGGAAAAAAATGTAGGTTTAGGAAGACGAGGAATCCTAATGATTACTTTTCCTTGATTTAGGAAAACATGACAGAAGAAACATATAACGATTTGGATAAAAAATTATTTGACCTCTTCCTGAGCCTCAATCGGTGCCTTGGCAGTGTGGAGGAGATGCTCCAGACACCGGGGCTCTTCAGGGAGGATGTCTCTGCCCAGCAGGAGCACTACGAGGTAGGGCCCGTATGGTCAGCCATTCCTGCAGCCCCACTCGTTGGGCCAGCACTGAAGCCTCTTGAGGTCAGAGCTCATTCTGTCTACTTCCTCCGCCTTGCAGAAACTGGCTCTCGAGTTGAAGAAACTTTATTTAGCTCTGTGTGACAAGAAGAATGATCTTTTGAAAGCCATGGCTTGGCCTGGCAGGAACAGCACTCTGCTCCCTGAATGTTTCGGTAGCCTCCAGGTCTGCCTGGAGCACACTCAGGCCAGCGCTGCCTCTAGAAGCAAGTCCCTGAAAGCTGGCCTGGACTACAAGCACAGTTACCAGGTAGGACTCTGAGCTCATGGGTGACTTTGCACAGCATGGACTCCTGTTCCCATGCACCATGTACCTGGTGGCATTTGTTAATAGAAATGGCTAAGGGAGACAGTGAGGCCCTCTAGTCCTCGTGGTTGGAGACCATTTAAAAGTGAGGCCCAGCTGGGCGCAGTGGGGCACACCAACGGCTCAGGAGGCTGAGGCAGGAAGAYGGCAAATTCAAAGCCAGCCTCAGCAAAAGTGAGGCACTGAGACCCTGTATCTAAATAAAATAGAAAACTAGAGCTGGGGATGTGGCTCAGTGGTTGAGTGCCCTGAGTTCAATCCCCAGGACCAAAAAAAAAGACCTTTCCAAAATCTTGGGTGTGAATTTATTAGCAAGAGCTACCATGGTGTTTCCTTTCTTATATTACATTTAGCCATTTAATGATCACACAGGGAGCATTTGTATTTAAATTTCTAGGCAATGGGAAGCCATTAAGCTTTTTCAGCAAAAGAASGACAATCCATGTAGGTTTCAGGTGGATTTGTCTAGCAGTTGTCTGGTGTGAATTGAAGGGGGAGAGCTGAGGCAGGGAAACTAGTTCGGAATGGCTAGTGAAAAAGAAATGAAGCATAACACCACTTATGAAGGAGTGTGGCCCATWCAAATCAAACCTGAATCCAATCAAGCTTCTAAAACCTAAGTCAAACTAACAGATGGGCAGAAGAACACGTTAAACAGCACTGTGGGTCATAGTCTGCCAAATCCAGAACCAATGACTTGTTTTTTTTTTTCATATATACACAAATCCAAGGAACAAAAAAGAAAGGTGCTATGAGAGTCAGCTGGTGTAGAGATACTTAAAGACATACTATTCCATTGTGACATACAGACCTCATTTGGATCCCAATTGAAACAAACCAAAAAAAAAAAAAAAAAAAACTGTAGGCTGTCAGAAACATGAGCCCCGACTAGGTGGTTAACCATACTAAGGAATTATTTTTTATTTTGGAGGAAGTGTATTTTTAAAGGAGGGAGYTTCGTCACTTAGAGATACCTACTGAAACGTAGTGATGAAATAACTTGATTTCTGGTATTTGCTTCAAAATAACAAGGGGGGAGGTGGTAGGAACATCCAGGAGAACTGGAGGAGGCTATAGAGGAAAGAAGGYCAGCCATGAGCCAATAATTGTTGAAGCTCAGTGATGATAAGGCGGGGATTACTCTATTTTTGTATGTGTTTTAAGTTTCCAGATTTTTTTATTAATTTTCAGAAAATGTATATATAAATTTATACAAATTCTGAAAATTTATAAATATAATAAAAAAAGACAATGAAGGCCTAAGTGAGATTGCTCAGTTTCCTGCACTTATCTTTTTTATACAGAATGAAATAAAGCGACTGTATGATCAACTCATTAAGAATAAGACAGCTTTACAACAGTCCTTGAATGAAATGCGTGGCCAGAGTATTGGTGAACAGCTTCAGGTAATCAATGAAATACTTCAAGTTAACCTAAACCTCGGGCCAGAGAGTCTTGTGCACCAGTTGGTACTTCTGAACCATTACCTTTTGTGAGCAGTAGCCAGGCTTGAGGAGAGCAAGAAGATGAAACTATTGATTTTTGACTTTTAAAAATATCTCCCAAGTAGTCCTTTCTGAAGAACAACTTAACAGTATGAGACCATTTTTACCTATCAGCGTGGCAGAATGTTAAATGTGTCCAGTGTTGGTAAGGGTGATGGAAAACGAGGCCCTTACCCTCTTGGTCAGAACACTAATTAGTTCAGCCTCTGGGAACCATTTGGCTCTATGACAGAATCTTAAATGCTCTTCCATTCACAGCAATTTGACTTCATTAATGAATGGAGCAAATACTAACTGAGAACTTWCTATGTTCAGTTATTGTTCTAGGGGCTTATTTGTACTCTTTCTGAGGACACAAAATAAATGCATAAACGTAAATATCATACATATCTGGAGATGGACCTAGCAATACTGTAAATAAYCCAAAAGTCCATGAAGAGCTGCCTAATACTACAGCAGGGTGCATCCTTACAATGGCACACTATGTATCTGTTTAAAAGGAGCCAACTGGTGTGATGACCGGTACAATGTCTGCAATATTAGCGATTCAGGAGGCTGAAGCAGGAGGATCACTAGTTCAGGGCCAGCCTCAGCAACTTAGCCTGACCTTATCTCATAATAAAAAATAAAAAAGCACTGGGGATATAGCTCAGTGGTAAAGTGCTCCTGGGTTCATTAAAAAAAAAAAAAAAGAGCCAGATACATGATATGAAGAGATGCTAAAGGGCTGATAAGTGAGGAATAACTATAGGATAGTTCAGTGGGTTTAAGGACGTGCACATGTACCTGCACTGGTGTGTGCTTAGAGTGTGTTAGGAACAAACTGTCAATTGTGTGACCTCCAGGCAGATTGACAAGGAGAACTGGAGGTGAGGAAGAGGTAAATATGATCAATTTTTTTCCCTAATTCCTTTCTGTCCTATTTAATTCTTTTTTAAATAATATGTACTTTTCAGGCTTATTAAAGGGTGTTCCTTTTTTTGTATCATCTTTCCCTTAGAAAGCAGATTTATATACAGCAGAGCTGCAGAATTCTGAGAGCCGAGTGGCCAAACTAAGAGACGAAGGGGAGAGGCTTCGCTTACCCTGTGTTTTACTCCAGGAGGTTTACAAGTTAGAGGTATGTCTGGGCAGAACACATTCACTCAGTGCGATGATTGTTCAGGAGAAGGCTTTGGTCTTCCACCTAGTGAATATTGACCTGCATTTGAACTTTTTTTTTCTGGTTGGATGAAATTGCTTGTGCACACCTGCTCTTTCCTTCTCAGGATGTACTTGACAGTATGTGGGGGATCCTGAGAGCGAGGTACGCTGGGTTCAGTAGCCCGTTCATCACTGAGAGCCAGCAACATGCCCTTCTACAAGGCACAGTGGAACTAGTAAATATTGGAAAGGAAATGCTTGCTCATGGCCACTTAAAACAAGCCAAAAGTAAAGTTGCCTTACAGACTCAAATACAAAATCACAAGGTAAGATACCCAGGTCGGATCCCCTTGTCCTGGACTAAAACCTTAAGGCTCTTCTGACTTTGAATGGAAACGATCCATTTTCTTCGTAGTGAAACATGCAGCATTTATTCTTCTAATAAACGTCTCTTAGGGCTGGGGTCGTGGCTCAGCGGTAGAGCGCTTGTCTCACATGTGCAGGACCCTGGGTTCGATCCTCAGCAAAACGTAAAAAATAAATGAGTGAGATAAAGGTATTGTGTCCAACTATAAAATAAATATTTTTTAAAAACCTATCTCTTAGCCTCTTAGTGTGTAGCAGACATCAGGGGACCCCTAGGAATATATTTGAGTGAAAATAGAAACAGCTCCTTATGTTGATAGAGCATTCAGCTGATTGAGAAGATGGACTTTTATCAATGAGTCTTCAAACGAATTTCCACTAAAAATTAGGAATCGTTCAATGAGAGCATAGGAGAAATGGACCTAAGGGGGTTAGCTTTCTGAGAACTGGAATTACAAGGAAGAGGTACTTTTATATAGAATAATACCATAGTAAATCCTTCCATCTTCCATTCCTATTATTAAACAAAAACCTCTTGATCATCACTGGCTAAAGAGGTGGAGTAATCTAGTCTCCTGATGAGAAATGGATAAGGCATCGTCCCTACCTTGAACAAGCTGACAGTCTAGAGCCTTTGGAAAGGATGCCTTAGTCTAAGAAAAATTGAAAAGTAAATACTGAATGAAGGATGGAAAAGAAGAGGAGAAAATTGGTATCTACAGAGTGCCAGACCCTTTGCTAGATGCTTTTACAAACCCTTCCTTGTATGTGTCCTTYTCAAGGAACAGGAGAAGGGATTTGCCAAATACAGGGGTCCCTCTGAACAACCAGCAGAGGTAGCAGGCTGCAAATGAGAGGAACCTTTTAGATGCTTGAAGTACAAATATGGTCCATTTTGTGGATAGGGATCCCTATCAGCTTCCTTTAGGAAAATCCCTTCACTTAGCCATTTTGGTGAGCAGAAGCCARAGTTAGAAGGAGTCAGGCTTTAGGAACCTTGTCTGCTAAGCATGTGGGCTGCAAGCATTTGCACTTACTGTCTTCAAATGATTCAGCCACCTTCTCATAATGTTTTACAACTCAAAACAACTGAATGAGGAAGAGCTGCCTGAAATTGAAGTAACAATAATGGAATAGAATATTTTGTGGAAAATATTACTTAAGGATAATATTTCTCATATATATGTATATATGTGTGTGTGTGTCTCACAACACATTTTTTTTTAGTTGTAGATGGACAGAGTACCTTTAATTTATTTTTTATTTTTATACAGTGCTGAGGATCAAACCTAGTCCCYCATACATACCACTGAGTTATACCTCCAGCCCCTAGGATAATATTTCTTTATAATTTGTTCAGTGTCCATTAATTTTTAAGATTAAGAGATCCATTTCAGTTTACTTTTTATCTTTTGATACATTTGACTCTCCCTGATATCCTGGGATTTTGAATTAAAAAACAAAAATAACTGGATAAAAAGTTAAAGTAACTTCCCAGCARTTCAGGAGCCTGAGGCAGGAGAATCRTGAGTTCAAAGCCAGCCTCAGCAAAAATGGGGTGCTAAGCAACTSAGTGAGACCCTGTCTCTAAATAAAATACAAATGAGGGCTGGGGATATGGCTCAGTGGTTGAGTGCCTCTGAATTCAATCCCTGGTACCCACCTCTCCATGGGAAAAAAAAGTTGGCTTATATGATTTTCACAATTTAAAAATGTTTAAAACCTTTTCCTGTATTATAGGTATTTTTCAAGAAGCTTGTTGCCAACATGTTGTTGATCCAAACATACTATGACAAAATGTTTCCTTCCGTGTTACCAAAGAGAGAGAGATTTTGGGCAGAACAAGTAACCGAAGTTAAATCCCTGGAAGGAAAGGCACAGCAGTTTGGCATGAAGCTGCAGAGTTTGTTGCAGGTATTTGACTTACTTRAACTTTACCCTTAGTTGAGAATTCCTGATTCTCAACCACTCTTCAGGTGTCAGAAACAAGTATCCGGTTATTAAGCAAAAGTTAAATGGGAAATAACAGTGAGGAATGTGAACCCAGGTCTAATTCCGAGGCTCCTCCCTAGCTTTTCTTTAGTCCTGTTCCATCATGCACACATCTGGGATGATATGGCATCTCTACCTTTTAGGTTTGTGTATGAATAAACCAACTTGAAAGCACRTTGAGACTGTGAGCCAGATCATTTGAATGACACAGTTAGTGGTTCAGAAACTGTACCCCTGGCCCAGACGTTCTGTTGCCAAATTCATAACCATGCTGTCTCAATTCCAAGGGAAAAATTGAGCATGTATAAAGTTTCTTTTCAGTTTTAAGGTTTCCCTCTCTAGCATATTAAACCATTCACAACCAATGTTAGTCAGCACATAAAGGAAATTTTTAAAAGGGAAAGGAGTATTGAATTTGGTAGTGTAATATAGCATTTTATGGTAACATTTATTTTCTAGTACGCCAAATTGATATTTATACTACTATTTCATCATATTTAGAAGACATTGCATGGGCCCAGTGAATGCCCTAGAAAATCCAGGTAACCCACTACTTGAAGAGAGATGAGAATTAGGTGGTGATTTTTCCGAGAGGTCATTTTTGGTGACAATAACTCAACTCTCTGGTGTGCTGGGACCCTAAGTAGYTCTCTTTTATGGAAAYGATATGCATTAGTTTTTTTGTCMTTGTGACCAAAACACCTGACAATAACAACTTAAGAGAAGAAAAACATTTATTTGGGGCTCACACTTTCAGAGGTTCAGTCCATGACAGGAAACATTATGGCAGTAGGGCATGGCAGAAGGAAACTGCTTAGCTCATGGCAACTGGAAAACCGAGAGAGAGGAGCCATCGACAAGATGTAGTCCAAGGTCATACCCAGTGACCAACTACTCACTTGCTTATAATTACCTCCAACTAGTCCATTCAAATTATTCATCAGATGGATTAATCCTCTATGAGGTTACAATGTTCATAATCTAATCATTTTTCCTGAATTGCCTAATACATTCATTCTTTAGGGTGGGTTACATCTCTGATTTTATGTTGATTCTCTAGAAATGGGAAGAATTCGATGAAAAYTATGGATCTCTGGAAAAGGATCTGGAAATTMTTGTCTCTACGTTGCCTTCTGTGAGTTTGGTGGAAGAAACAGAGGAGAGATTAGTGGAAAGGATATCATTTTATCAGGTATTTTTGCTTCCTAATTGAAGTTGCCAATGACATGGTCCGTAGCACTTGGTGTCTTGTTTTGATTAAGTTGCTTGCTTTTGAAGCTGAATGGTTTGGATTGAAATGAAATATTGTTTGTCACACAGCCTCCAGGTAGACAAGTGTAGGGATACTGCAGGCTCCATGTGGGCTCCTCAGTGTAGCCACCCGTTGGGCTTGGAGTTGAAGACTAATTCAAGTCCTGTTCCATCACTTGTCACTTTTGTGACCTTACTGCCTCCRAAACCTTAGTTTCTTTGTTGAGAACAGAGAAGTAAGCCGGTTCCACCTGTCTCAGGAGGTGAATAGCAATATATTATTAGTTATAGAAACCTGCTGAGAATGGAATAAACATACATTTAGCTTTCTTACTGCAATGAAGCCCTGATGGGATCTAGCCTATAAGACAGACAGAATCTGTTGCCTCTTGCAATATTTTAAAAAAGACTTCAAACTTTTAAGCATTTCTTGTGTCATTTTTGGTCCAGTTATTATTGAAGGGTCTATGTCTCCAACTTTGATGTCATAGAAAAGATAAAACATTAATATGATTTCTGGTGACATTGAGAACAAGACTAAGACAAAAACAAGTTTCAAATTCTTCCATCAGAAGCTTAAAATACTCAGTTTTACCTGTAGAAGATACACAGTCAGAATTTGAGTTGTGCTGCTAGAGAAAATCACCAACGATCAATATGAAAGCTTCAAAAGTCAGCTTTGTGCCTGATGAGACGGGATGGGAAGTGAAAGCGAGATGCGTGGCAGTGACCTGCTGATAACACTTTCCAGAGGTCAGGGCACTGTTTATACCCTCCAGCATCCCAGAGAGCCTGGAGTAGATGAATCTGGGTCTTCCCAGGGGGTGAGTGGGTGCTGGCCTGGGGATACAGAGCATGCCATCTCACAGCTGAAAGAACACAGTCGAAAACAGTATTTTAAACCATACCATAGTAAGAAGTAATATTAGCCAYCTAATGAGCCTCATTATCTGTTCCCGACCTCCCCCAAAAAGTGACCACATCCCTTAAAATGTGAGTATGGTTCCCTTAAGTTTAAAGTATTTTTTTTTAAAAAAGAAATCATTGTTCTATGTCTTTTAAATAAATTTGCTATACTAAAAGAAGACATCCCATAAAACCYTTCACACAAATAGGCTTTCTGAGGCCAATCTTGGTCCTTATAATCATGGAGAGGTTTATGGGTATCAAGTCTGTCTCCCAGGTATGAAATGGAGGAATGAAACTTCTCCAAGATACTGTWACGGTGAAACGTCTGGCACTTAGGCTTAGAAAACTAGGACGTTTTTTAAAAATTGATGTTGGATTTTTTTTCTAGCCTTTAAGCTCAGGGAGGAGGAGAAAGGATTATAAAAGGAGGAAAGGGAGTTGGAATGAAATATTCAGGTAATTTTTAAAAAAAGGTTTAAGTGAATTGGAAAATCGCAGAAGTTCTATTTTGATAATAATTTGTATTTAAAAGGTTAAACAGCTATCAGGATAAGTGAGATTAGCTGAACCCAGCTTGTGGAAGATAATTGCCTTAAGACAGTTCTCTTCAGGGGGTCATTGTATTTGCAGTTTTGAAGAATTTTTCTTTCTCTTTTCGTGACTTGAGTTGAATGATGTGCTGATTTAATTTATTCTTCTGAAGTTCTCTTTCTCTCTCCTGGATCCTTTTATTCGGAAAACCATAGAAATGATTTTCCCCTGGTATCTGCATCTTTTATGTTTATCGTTTTCCTATGTGGGTCTCAGTCTGCAGTGTCCCAGGGGCCAGGCTGGGGAACAGGAATGAGGAATCCTGGCTGGGTCTACAGTCAGGGTTGTGAGGACCGAGGTGGGAAAGAACTGAAGGGAGCAGACCCTTTTAAAGGAGGCTGTGGCTGCTTGTTTCTAGCCAGGCTTTGCCACAGGACAATGCAGAACTGCAATCCCTACATCTTCTGGTTTTCCCCCGGGGCTCTGGAAATCCAAATTTCTTTATTTTATGTCAATTCTATGTGAAATATCCTGATTTTCAAAATAATCTTGAGATCAATCAAAACCTGACTGAAAAACGAGGCACAGTAGCCTATGCTCATAGTCCCAGCTACTTGGGTGACTGAGGCAGGAGGACCCCTTGAGCCCAGGCCAGCCTTGTTTGAAAGACCTTGTTTGAAAAAGAGAGAGAGAAATCCGTCTGTAAGCCGAATGCAGCCAATAGACTGCCACCTTGTTTTGTTTTTTTTTCTTTTGTTTTTAGTTGGAAGAATTAACTATCAGAACTTAATCGACAAATTTCGTGTTTCTTGTCTACCTGTACTCAGTTACAAAGCTGCTCTATAGAAACACCTTAATCAGGCCCTCTTATGAAAGGGGCCCATTAATCACGTCTGTCCAGCCAGACTGCAGTCCTGAATGTTGCTTAAGTATTCTCATTTCTTCAGTAGCCTGGAACGTAGGTTTTTTGTGTTTGTGAATAGATTGGTAGACTTGATTGTTTTTTTTTTTTTAAATCATTCACTCCATGACTTATTAGCAAATAAAAAGAAACATTGATGGAAAGCATGCCCGGCTCTACCAAACTCTAAATGAAGGCAAACAGCTGGTGGCATCTGTGAGCTGTCCTGAACTGGAGGGACAGATTGCCAAACTGGAAGAGCAGTGGTTGTCCCTGAACAAGAAGATTGACCTTGAACTGCACAGACTGCAAACACTTCTCAAGCATCTACTCAGGTATGTTTTTTTCTTTGGAGATGATTGGCTTTAAATTTTGCTGTGAAGAAAGACTTCAGAGGGATTCTGCAGTCAACTAAATTTTGCATGCAGTCTCCCGGTTATGCTGTGCTGTTCTTTTTGACAATCTGAAGCACCTGGATCCACTTCTGGATTAATGGGATCTGATACAGGCCTCTGATATTGGTGTGCTAGACTCAGGAATCAGTTGGCTGGAGAACATTGATATAGATTTATGGAACCTAGGAACTGTGTTATAAAATAGTTCATGTTCCCTTTATCCTATGCTGTTGCAGTTTTTCTATTCTCTTTGTTAAGTTCTAAAATTTAAACAAAATTAAATGATTTGGGCTAAAACAATGATTTAGAAAAGTCTTTTGAGTTCATCAGAGGGTTTGTTTTGCTCAGTTGGGATAACCTTGAAGCGTTCAAGGACGGCAGAAAACAGAATATTGAAGCCTCATTCTCATCCCTGCCTCTCGAGGGCTGTCTAATCTAAACAAGTTTTGGAAGTGACAAGAAAGAGCAGCACTTTGTTTGGATATTTTTATCAAATATCAGAGAAAAAATTTTTGAATCCAGGCAACAGCAGTTTGTTATTATACATCTTGCACAAATGCTTGTTGTATGTTTACTTAAATGCATTTATAGAAGATATTTAATGGATTAAAAAATAATCTCTTTTTTACACAGGAGTATACTTTTGTGTAGCTGTATAAGAAATAAAGAATATTTTATTTTATTTTACTTTATTTTTAGAGTGTGAGAGGGGGGAGAGAGAGAGAGAGAGAGAGAGAGAGAATTTTTTAATATTTATTTATTTTTTTTAGTTCTCGGCGGACACAACATCTTTGTTGGTATGTGGTGCTGAGGATCGAACCCGGGCCGCACGCATGCCAGGCGAGCGCRCTACCACTTGAGCCACATCCCCAGCCCCTTATTTTATTTTTATTTATTAAAAGATATTCGCATTTGAGGCATGAAAYAATCCATCATATAATCCTTATAATTGTTTTGATTTTCTGAAATATAGGGCTGATCAACACAGGCAAATACAAAATAAAATAAGAAGAAATATGCTAGTGGTACCCCTCATTATCAGAGTACCTTTCTAATTTCCTTTCTCCCACTTTGCTCCTGTTAGTTACAACAGAGATTCAGATGAGTTAACCAAGTGGTTGGAATCTTCTCAGCAAACTTTGAATCACTGGAAAGAACAGTCCCTCAATGCATCTCAGGACTTGGATACAATCAGAAACAACATAAATAATTTTTTTGTAAGTTGCAATAGAATATGTTCAAATAATTTTTGGTCAGAAATAAATTATCAGAGGAACAGGTTCAGAGTTGCTGTGATAATCTTCCTTCTTTTGTGGGTAAGGAGTAAGATTTGAGGTAATTGTATCTGTGGTCTACAAACTTAGAATTATCTGCTTATACTGTTTATTTATATATTTATAATGATAGAATGTATCTTTAATTGACTATTTAAAAATGTCTTTTACACTAAAATATATATTATGTATAAATCTTTTGCTTTGACATGGGACATGCTTTACAAATACAGAAAATACCTCCCCCCAAAATTTAAAAACAATTATGTAATATTATTAATTCATAAATATTTTAAGTTAATAAATATACAGTTTTAAATTATTGGATACAGAACTGACATTTCTACTCAAAAGATTTTTGTTCTATGGTTTTGAGGGGTTTTCTGGAAAAGAGGATTACTTTTGTAATGTAAAATGCACTCCTGAGACCCCTTAATCTTTGCCCTTAATCATGCCTATCTTTTTTTCTTTTTTTAAAAAAAAATATATTTTGTAGCTATGGTTACTCACTTCACTTTGGTATTAAAATGTAAATAATTTTTTAAATACTTGGGAATATACATGGGAAATTTTTCAAATATTTTAGTTAAAAATTCATTGCAAGTGGTTCATGTAATCTGAACTTGAAGTTGAGTTCCATGGTTTCTTCTGAAACTCAAATAACTTGTCTGTTTCTAAAAACCCACCAGGTTCTRAGTTTCTGGAGGGGCAGGATTTCCATCTCTTTTGTTCTCCCATGTGGATCTAATATACAGAATAGTGCCAACACTTGGTAGGCAAAGCCGGGTGTGTGTGTACACAGACATTCAAACTCTTATTCCATTTAGTTTTGCACTCTAACCAGTTGCTCTGACTGTATTTGAATTTTAAACGTTTCTGTTCTTTACAACTGTTTCCTTAGGAATTTTCCAAGGAAGTGGATGGAAAGTCCTCCCTGAAGACTGCAGTTTTAAGCACTGGGAACCAGCTTCTGCACCTGAAGGAAACCGACACTGCCACGCTGAGAGCCTCCTTAGCCCAGTTTGAACAAAAGTGGACCATGCTCATAACTCAGCTTCCAGATATTCAAGAAAAGCTTCACCAGGTCAGTGTTTAGACACCCAGCATTTAAATTAGCGTTCACTTGTTAGCTTACAACTCTTTTTAAATTATTTTTCTGACTCAATAATTTTCATTGACATTACCTATTTTTCTCTGGCACCACTGAATATAGAGGTCTTCATTACTGGACTGTCCTCCAATGAGATCTTTCTTCACAGAGAAATTGGGCTTAATTACTTTATTTCTCCGTTTATCTGTGCCACTCTGTTCATTTATGTGAAGGTCTTCACCGTTGTTTGGGGGGGTCACATTTTCTGAGCTTGAATGCTGRGTTTGTTTTTGTGAGTAACCTGCATCATTATGTAGCAAGACCTTATATCAAACCAGATACCGTCTTTAGTGATGCCCTGATTCATTTCGTTAACRGTAGATAATTAAATGGAAATCATTTTGTCCTTGCAGCTTCAGATGGAGAAATTGCCATCTCGTAAAGCCATCACAGAAATGATTAGCTGGATGAACAGCGTGGAGTATCAGGCTGCAGGTGAAGACTCTGCGCACTTCCCTAGTTCTGAGTCTCAAGTAAAGAATCTTCTTCAGAAGCTCAAGGTAATTACGCAAGGAGCCACAGTCTTTTCATTAAATAAGAAGTAGATCACTTGGAAGGGAAATGCTGAACCCAGAGCCGTGTGGGAAATAATGTAGGAACACTGATTTGGGGAGTAGAGAATAGGGTGGTAGATGATTCTAGAAATGATGAGGTAGTCCACTGGCTTTTATTTCACTTGCATTCCTTTATAGCTCTGACCACTGCAGGACCATCCAAGCTTTTTAATGGACTCAGGTCTTCCTTTACCTCCCCAGTCAACATACTATACCTCTGACCTGGACTGACACTGCCCACTGTTAGCCACAGACATCCTCTTAATCATCCTGCAAGAGCCAGCTCAGGCTTCTCCTCATTGACAAACCCACTCTGGCTCTCCCAGCTGGATTAAGGGACAGTGCTGAGTTAATGTCTCCATGTTGCTCTCTAGTTTTTATTTATAAATTATCATTTATTTACTCAACTGCTTCTCTAACTTGACTGAGCTTCTTGAGAGCAGGGGCTATCCTTCACCTCCCAAGAATTGCACACCAAGCCCAACAGCTGGCCTCCAGTGAGTTTTAATAAATATTCTGTCCAAACAGAGATATGATAAATTGTGGTATAAAAGTGTATTAAGAATTGTATGCAAAAAAAATAAGAGAGCTCATGTATAATGGCATAATTTGGCATGAACATACTTTATAGAGAGAGTTATGAAAAATTGTGCTGTGAATAGATAATTATGAATGTAATGCACTCCACTATTGTCATGTATGTAAGAAATAAATAAAAAAAGAAAGAAAGAAAAATAAAGAAATATTCTGGCTGGATGCAGTGGCTCACACCTGTAATCCCAGCAATTCAGGAGGCTGAGGCAGGAGGATCACGAGTTCAAAGCCAGCCTGAGCAGATTAGAGAGGCATTTAGCAACTCAATAAAACCCTATCTCTAAATAAAATATAATAAATGAGTTCAGTCCCTGGTATCA